CTCTTCCGATCTGATAAAATATATTTGTTGTGAGATACAATTTTATTAGCTAAAATAAAAGCGTACTTTAACAGGAGTAGGTAAGAAAGTGGCACACGGATTGAATAACTTTGCTGAAAACTTTAAAAGTTTTGCTAAATATTCCTCAACAGGATTAACTAAACGTCATTTGATTCTAGCAGCAAATGTTTTTTGCTGCAGCACCTACATTTTAATAACTAATAAATTTAGATTCAGCAACAACGATATACTAGCTGTCCCTATTTTAAGTACACATCTTAGCTGCCATAGTTATATTTTAGCTATATTGGTTAATCTTTTTTTTGCGTGAATCACTAAAATATTTTGATAAGTCTCTGAAATTATACTAAAAAATTCTCTGAAAACTCTGCAATGTATCCGAAGTAACGAACATTTTCAGGAAAAATAAATTTTAGTCTTTCAGAGAAATTCAGAGAAACTTTTTCACCGAAGTTGCCTGTGTGAAAATTTATACACAATTATTTCATTGTATATTTCGTTCCACTGGTCAACCAAGCTTTGACTAATATTTTTACAAAAACTAAGATCGATTTCGTTCAATTTAGTGCAATTTGTAAAAAGTTGGAAACATATAGCAGGTGTCACAGAATCCAAGCTCATCAAGTTTAAGGATTTTAAATTTTTACACAACGCTAGTGTTTCCAAATCACGCTTAGTGATACGTTTAAACTGTTCAAAATAGCTCAAGTCGACTTTTTCCAGGCGTTGACAAGAGGAAAACAATCTACTGAAGGCACCACCCCGGTCATTGTAATCCATTTTCCAGCATCTGTAAACAAGAGTCATACATACGATTATAGCAACTGCTTGAAAAAAAGATGAGCATAAAAATTTCAAAAAAGAATACGATAATTTATATTTAAAAAAAAACACTTTCACATACGTACCTACAAAAATTTATTTCTTTCAGATTCTTACAATTGGCAAGAGCATAAATCCCTTGCGATGTAAAAGAGCTTCCCGTTAAATTTAATCTTTCCAAATTGAGACAATTTTTTAATTCTATAGCGACTTTATTTATATTTAAACGCGTATTTGCTAAATTTAAATCACGCATCTGTCGATTTTTCTGTAGTACATCACATAAAGTCCTAGTTTCAATTCTCATTAAATGTGCAAGTTGTAAACTTTCCAAAAACTGTAAATTTTTGAGGTGTGAAATACCTTTGTTACTTATGTGATTACAATAATTTAGATCCAATTCTAAAAAATATATGTATAACATTATAATTATGTTTAATTTACCAGTAATCATAACAATTACAGAGTTATGTATGTACGTACCTTTCAAATTTTTGCATATCTCTGAAATATCACGTAATTCAGAATCAAAGACATAACTGCAGTGACTTAATCGTAGGTGTGTTAAATGTCTGCAGCAAGTTTTTATAAATTCCCTAAACTCCGGAGCAAAAAAATGACAATATGCCAGATCCAACTGTAGTAAATAATGTTTACATCTCGGTGCAAAATAATCAAATAACTGACGGAGATTTTTATGCATATATGTTAGGTGTATATTTCGTAAATTCAAACATTTGTACAGCAGAGCTGGTTCGCGTGATAAATTATTGAAGCGTTTATTGACTCTGCTCATGCGACTTAATGACGTCACATCTAAGTTTTTCAATATTTCTAGTATTACTTCATCCTGCAATGATAAAATATAATTTGATTACATAATATAATATTTATTAAGAAAATTATACTTTTAAGCTTAAAATACTTTACAGAGAGC